CCAAGGGGGGCCCAAGAGGGAGAATCAAACATGCCGTGCTGAGACGGAGGGGGAGAATCTACGGACACGGCCACTGTCTCTTGCCCATCAGAGACATCACATCTACCAAGGATACGGAGAAATCGGTGCAGACTCCAGAGTCGACGATAGAATGGATGGATCCCAAGTGGTGACTCCACGAGTTTACGGTCACATTCTCAACTCAATGGTACGACGTCTCCATTCTGAGAAAAGTCGGCCTCGTGATTGGCAGTCGGCGAACAGACCCCGACAAACCCTGGCCCCGTCCATCCAGCAGGAAATACGCCGGGTGGCTGGCGTGGAGACGAGCTAAACCCAATCCCGCCCGTTCTCTCCATTTCGATATCGCGAGCCCGTGGCGTTGTGGTCAAGGACCCCCGGGCCTCCTTTATTTTCGACCTTGTGCGGAAGAAGCTCACCCCCGGACGGACGCCTGTGGCCTGCCTATCTGCTACTGTGCGGCAATGTATGCACAGTACCACCCAGCATTGCTAGCCTAGGCAAGATGGCTTCCTCCATGCCATGATCCGCTTGGCTCCTCTTCCTGCCCAGGCGCCGCTTCTGCTGCGTGCTCTCCACGGGCCCTCTCCTCTCGCCTCGACCGAGCTAGCCAAGGTACGGCTAATTCTAACGGAGTACCACACGCCCGAGCCTGAGTTTTTGCTTGATATTAACCCCGTCAGCTTCTCTCACGACTCACTTCCTTCTTCTTCTCCCTCCTCACCCTCCAGCCCGTGTGTCTTGCCTGTCGTTACACAGCCGAAAAAGTTGCTTCTGCCCTTCACCTGTGTCTTATCCGCCCCTCTCGCACATATAATCTCTTGCTCTCGTTTTGTACAAGAGATCTTCGACAACTTCGCTATTCCTAGTCTCGATTTTGTGCCCGCTCATAGGACCAGTCCCTCCGCCTCTCGCTACCACTAATACATTTCTGGACGACGGCTCTTCTCTCCGCCAGCAACGGCTCTCGCTCAAGTCAACAACCCCTTTAGTCCGTAAGTCGACCCCGTCCCATTCCTGACGCCTTCGCCCCCAAAGACTCGCCTCCCTCCAGCCATGTGCTACTCAAACAGCTGTCGAAGCCAATGTGGAGCAATGAGGCTGTGGAAAGAGTTTAGGAATGCAGCATACAGAAATGCTACTTCTGTCCACAAATATGGCTTTTTTCTGACCAGGAAACGCAATAACAGCAGTCGATATTAATACCTGGATATCTAGCTCTCCAATTCTTTGTTGAGAGCTCCGTTCTTCTATCCTCCCACATCAACATCTCGAGTCGATCACCGAGCACTCACACACACGACACACACAATGCCTTCATTCAAGAGCACCGTCTTTGCCGTCGCTGCGGCTTTCGTCGCCGCCACCCAGGCCGACTACGTTATCGAACCCAAGTCCGTTCCTCTGGCCACAAGAAGTACGTTACTCTACCCCCAGGTCCTGCTCCACCGCGATGGAGAGTGTGGGATGTGAACACAGATGCTGACAGCAAGCTGCAGAGGCCTGGTGCCAAGATGAGACGAACACTTGCCCTATCATCTGCCAACAGGTTGAGCCCAGGACGACTCTGGTCAATGACTGCGACTACGTGAGTAGCACCCGTCCCCAACACGGCTTTATAGCCAACAATGGAGGGAAGTCAAAACAGTACTGACAGGACTGCCACAGAACTCTCTGACCTACGGCTGCGTGTGCGGCGACGGCAACCAGCCCAACATGACCGAGTACTCTCTCACCCTGCCCTACCATGTCTGCCAGGAGTACGGCAACCAGTGCGTCACCAAGTGCGGTCTCGGCGCCAACGAGTGCGCCTCCAAGTGCCGCGAAGACAACCCCTGCGGAGCTACCAACCCAACTCGCGCCAACAGCACTTCCACCGCCTCCGGCACGGCCACCGCGACCTCCTCGTCGACCAGCGGCGCCATCTTCACCGGCATGGCCGGCGACGACGGCAGCTCCGGCTCCTCTGGCACCTCCGGCGCCGCGGCCCTGGGAATGGGTCGCGAGGCTGGCTTCGCCGTGCTCGTCGGCAGCATCCTCGGCGGTGTTGCGCTCCTGCTCTAAGTGGCTATCACATGTGTGTGTGTGTGTGTGTGTGTGTGTGTGTGTGTGAGTGTGAGTGTGCTGCGGCTTCGGGTGTGAGTCTGATCAGACAATGAGAAGAAGGGGAAGGGGTGTGTGGCTGGTTGCTGTGTTGCTGTCTCGTCCACTCTTTTGAAATACCCTCTTGCACAAAGTTTTTTCACATGCTCGGCGTTTATAGGCGGGGAGGGGGAAACGAGCGTATCGCGCGGTTTTGTCCTCCTCGGGACGGCATTTTCATTGATCACGGAATGAATCATTGGGGAAATGATTTGGGACCAAGAAAAAACAACTAATGTCTTTTAATATCATCGAGCAGAACACTTGGGCAACGAAGAAAGCGAGCGGATGATGGATGAGAGGAGGAAAATAATGTCATATAAGCGGTCCTGTTTTTAGTTTTGGGGGGCACGGCTTTGAAAGAGGTCGAGTCGAGTCATTGAGAAAACGTGAAAGGAAGCGGCGCCTTTTTGGGCTGCAAGCCTCAGAAAGACTACAAGTTCCGTCCCATTATTGTGATATCGTCGTATCTCGTGCCGGCACTTGCAACTATTCCGCTTCTGCACTTTTTAGTGGTAGTGTCTCCGGCGAGTCCTCCCGCAGGATGGAAGGAAGAGCAAGCTAGAATGGGGCCCTTATCTAAAGGCTGAGCACGAGACCATCGTCACCGTTCATCCCGTGATGTGTTTGGTGCTGGACATTTTTCCCGCGAGACAATCTCCGATATTGTGGGCGAGCTAGAGAGCATATCGGAGCGTGGGCCGATACATGCGCAGCGGGAGGGGGACAAAGGATGAACGGTTTGGCAGGCACGGGATGGTGACGGTGTGGCGGGCACCAATTAGAGTGGCCGGGACATCTTGCACTGGTCTCGGGCTTGGTCGATGTCGATGTTCCATCAAATGGGACAAGATAGCCACATGCAAGTCTTGTGCACGGCATTGTATGGCCGCCGATGTTGGCGGCCGGCGGCGCGGAGGGGTCACGGGGACCAGCATGGCGGCACGGCGGCCCAGGGCCGGACCCGATCCATGTGGTGGATCCCCCCTCCCTGACGCAATGAGGCTGAAGTTACCTGAGGCTGGGTGTGGGTGAACAAGGGGTCCTCACATGTCATCATGTAGGTGAATAGGTAGCCAGCCAGCCAAAGTGTTGTTTGAGAGGTTGAAGTTGGGGGCCGATTATGAGATGATGTTTCTTACGGGTGGACTTGCTGTAGTCGGGTGGTCGGGGGACGGGCGGTATCCGTAGTTCGCATGGCCCAATTGATCGGTGTGATGTTGGTCAATGGCCGATGGCACGTTAGCGACATGCGCCGCAGCTCCTCCGAGAAAGATCAGGTGGAAAAAAGCTGGGTAGGGTACGGAGTAGGTCCGTAGGGCGTGCGGCGCATGCAGGGCTGGGCTCTCACATGCCAAAAGTATTGCGCCGCCGTTTCTAATAGTCTGAGAAGACGCTGCGAGATTCGCCCAAGCCTTGCGTTAGGGCTCTTCAAGTATTGCATGCGCCCCGAATCAACCCAATAGCAACGGCGATGGAAACGGCGAGGACGAAAAGGCGGTAAATATCGATGGGGGGATGCACCTTGTCTAGGTTTATCCTTTTCGCTCTCGGGCTTCTGGCAGCGAAGGACAGCGTGGGATAAAACGGGTGAGGAGGAGCTTGGGGCGTCGGGGAGCGCGTGTTCTCATAGGTAGGGTCTTTTTTGTCCCCTCTTGGTCTCCCTTTTTTTTTTTTTGTTTTTTTTTGTTGAATCGCCGGAGATGAGGCAAGCGGGGGGCGGGTGCTGCTGTAAGCGCAGCGGAGGCTCGGTGTTGATTGGACGAAACAGGGAGCCGGTCGTCGTCGATGGCCTGTGATTCGCGATGGTAGATGGGATGGAAACGGGCAGACCCCTTGTGCGGTGGTGAGTTGCTGCAGGGGAAGAGGTTAGTGAGGGAATTTACCTTAGGTAAGGCGGTGATGTAGAAGGGCACCGACGGCGACAAAGAAAATCCATGGATGGCGGGAGTAGATGCGGATGCGGAGAGGGTTGCAGTTGATGGCGAAGATGGGAATGGAAGCACACAAAGGCAGCAATCACGAGGGAATGACAATGGCAGCGAATGACGATGACGGTGCCTGTACCTGCCTTGCTTGCCCTGCAGGTAGGTAGGTATGGTAAGGTAAGGTAAGGTAAGGTAAGGTAGGTGCGAACCGGCCGCGTAGCTACGGCACTGAGGCTCCTGCTTCCCGCCCCGGCCGCCGCGCCCAGGCTGCTGGACCGAGTTGAGAGCTTGCCTTGGCCGCATCTGATTTGTCCCCGGATGGAGCAGCGGGTGGCAGATGGCCTGTCATTTGCTGGCTTGGCTTGCTGGACATGGAAAGTCACAAATGTCCACTCTCACGCTTCCAGAACGGATGGATACCTCATACCTGCGCCTCTGGTGGACCAACGCACCGCTCAACCAGCTGGGGTACAGTCTACCTTGCCAGTCCACCGACCGACCCCCTGCTCTTTTTCCCCCTAAAAAAAATAAACGGCCAGCTCTCGTCTATGATGCGAGGCCATTGAGGTGCACACTTGCCTGCCTTGACCTACACTACTTGCCTTCCTTACTTTCTCCGATCCCAAGTTTGCATGCACAATTAGCTCTGTCTTTTTGCGGTGGAAGCCGCGCGCAACACATCTCGCTGTAGCTTTTGTCTCTGCTATAGATATCCATCACTTCCCCTCCCCCACCGCAAGCCGGCGTTGCATTCTCCTCTGGGCTCCTTTTGCTTCTGGACCTCCTCAACTTCCTCGGCTCCCCTCCTCACCCCTCTGCCTTCTTCTATTGCTACCTTCAACCCCCACACTCGTCGCCGAACACCCGTCATTCCAGACTTCGCTGTCTCTGGCGCGCAACTTGTGCAGAATGGGCACCAAGACCTCTGAAAGTGAGCATCACCCCTGTCTCCCTCGCTCCCTTCGGAAACCCAGACCAGACACCCGGGTCCAGATGAGCGCTCAGCTTGTGGAATGTTGCGCCTGCAATTTATGGCCGAGGTTCCTTCACGAGAACATATGGCGGCTTCTACACCTTAAACGAGCAACTTTGGCTAACCTATTGTTGTCTTCCAATAGAAACGGCAGCCGCCGAATGCATCTCCGACGATGCCCTCATCCACCTCAAGTCCTACAAATACTCCGCCGTCGACAAGTCGCCCATCTCCAACTACATCCTTAAGCCATACGTACGTTAGCCCCTCCGACGATCCCCCTCCTCCGGCCATGTCTTGCCCCGCGCCGTCCGAGCGGCTCTAGCCAGCCATCGCGCGCTACATCCCTTCGACAACCTGCTAACACAGTCTGCTCACAGTGGAACGCCTCTGTCGAGCTCTTGCCGCTATGGCTGGCGCCAAACATGGTGACGTTGCTGGGCTTCTTCTTCATCCTCGGAAACATTGGCCTTCTGGTCGTCTTCATGCCTGATTTGGTTGGACCGGTACGTTTAAACAGAGTCGGGGAAGATTATCGCAGTGAACACTGCTGACGACGCGCAGGCTCCGTCATGGTTATACTTCAGCTTCGCCTTCGGTCTTTTCATGTACCAGACCATGGACAATCTCGATGGAAAGCAGGCCCGCCGAACAGGAACCTCGAGCGGACTCGGCGAGCTCTTTGACCACGGAATCGACTCTCTGAACTGCACCCTGGCCAGTCTCCTCGAGACCGCCGCCATGGGTCTCGGCTGCTCCAAGTCCGGCGTCTTCACGGCTCTCGTCCCTTGCCTGCCCATGTTCTTCTCGACCTGGGAGACGTACCACACCCACACTCTGTACTTGGGCAGAATCAACGGCCCTACCGAGGGCATCTTGATCGCCTGCAGTGTCATGGTTGTCTCCGGTATCTACGGCCCTGGTATCTGGACCCAGCCCATTATTAAGCTTTGGGAGGGTCACGAGAAGTACATGTTCGGCTTTGCTCACCTGCTGGGCGAGACCTCCATCCGTGACATCTGGATCGGCATGATTGTCTTCTCCCTGTTCGCGACCCATATCCCCTTCTGCGTCCTTCATGTCATCAAGGCCCGTCGCGCGCGTGGCGAGCCTGTGGCTCCCGTCTTTTTGGAGTGGACGCCGATGGCAGTGTTCACCCTCGCTATTGGCGCATGGATCTACTCGCCTTACACGACCCTTCGCACCGAGAACCACCTCGTTCTCTTCTGCTTGACCATGTCCTTCGTCTTTGGTCGCCTCACTACCAAGATGATTCTTGCTCACCTGACCAAGCAGCCGTTCCCGTACTGGACCGTCATGCTTGTGCCTCTCGTCGGAGGTGCGTGCCTCGCCAACCTTCCGGTCATTGGCATCTCTGCCATCAGCGCCCAGACGGAGCTGTACTACTTGTACGGCTACTTCATCTTCTCCGCAGTTGTCTACTTCCGTTGGGCCTACCTCGTCATCACCAGCATCTGCAACTTCCTCGGAATCAACGCCCTTACCATTCCCAAGGAGAAGCAGCTCGCCAACAAGCAGGCGCTTCTGGCTGCGCAGACGGGGCCGATTCTCAACGGCACTGCGAACGGCTTCAAGAAGGAGTAGAATCTCAAAGTTCTGTGAAGACGTATATAGAGGTGATTCAACACCAACGACCGACATTGGAATGGCGACGACGAAGAAGGAGGAGGGAATTTTGAGCAGAGGAAATAACAGCACGTCTCGCTGCGGCCGAGAGGGATACGATTGAGCTTATTTTGCATTGACGTCGGCGTTGCAGGAGGCTGATCCCAATTTCAACATTGCATGCGCTGTTGTTCTTTTTATTTCGGCGCTGAGGGTGAGCATGCCGCGGATACTGGCATGACTGGACTATGTTTATAAGTACTATAACTATTTAGTAGGGCGAAAAAGAGCCCCTTTTTGCATAATATCATCGTTCAACATTCAACGCTCCACCTAGTATGTTGCGGGTTCGGGTAGTGATGTTCATGTTGTGATGATAACAGAGTGGCACGACATTCTGCGAGCAGATAGCGCCGGACAACAATCCCATGATGAGGGGTTCTAAGTGTCTCGCGCTGTTTGAATGGCGGCTTGCCTCCAAGACGCCAGGCTTCTACCTATGTTGATTTCCCTACAGTTCACTCCGCAAGATTCCCAGACTGTTCTCACAGATATTCTGGGCAACAATCAGTTCGAGTCCCATAGGATCTAGTACATCACGAAAGTCCTTGTTGGAACTGTTCGTACGTGTGACGACGGGGCTTCGATATAGATGCTTCTCGTATCTCCAAACGCTCCTATGGTCTTGGGTTCTCGACCAAGGCTTGCGAGGTAATTTACAGCATATAAATTTAAGCGCGAGCTAGACTGCCTGTTAACAATGTGGTGCCAACATCGTGATGAGGAGTAAACCATGCGTTATGCTATGTCGAAACAACGAGGACTGCGGTGCAGAATGTTGTGGGGTATAATTGTCCGTCATTGGTTCTGCTGGACTATTCGCCAGAGGTGTTCGGTGTGAGAGCATTAGACTGAACTACGGTTGCTAGATTTGATGGACGGCTGTTGTCATTTTCCAGTACTTCCATCAACTGCGGCCAGCGACAAAAGAAAACTAGTGCGACTTAACCTTTTTGAATATGCCGGTTGTATATGATATAGTCTGTCACGTTTCGTATAAGGTAGAGATAGCATGTTATTGATTCTCCTCGAGGGCGAAGTTGGGATTTTGATACTTGAAACGGCAAATCATATAATCTCTCTTCTTCTTCATGAATGCGAAAATCCCTCTTGGGCTCTGCTCCAAAGCCAGCACGGGAAGCTCTGGTATGGTGTCTTAGAGCGACGAAGTACTCTTTTTTTTTGTCTTTTTTTTTTCCTATGGTGTCTTCCATGGACGTCTTTGGTGGAATATCCTTACTACTTAGTCTGCTGTCAAGTGCTCGTCACGTTGGCTCGGTATTACAAGTCGAGAAACGGGAGTGCAGAAGGTCTTTGTGACTTGCAATAGATAACTTTGCAATCCTATAGCAGCTGATGAGGGCACAAATCTCCTGTGCATGACTTCGCTTGCTACTTTCCCAAGTTCGCATCAACCTGCTGAAGGAGGTTGCCAGGGTGCCTACTTCAAACCCTTACTATTACGGATATGTAAGTCGGTACGCGACATGAATGTGGCTTGTAGGAATAAAAACAAAATAATATGTTGAAAACAATGATAGACACTGAGTCACATAGTGCTTAGCTGTCGTCTACCAAAATTGGCTCTTGTTGAAGGACATGTATATCAGCTTATCATGCCGTATGGGTTTGTTGTATATCACGGTCAAAGTGAGTTTCACGAATCATACCAAATCATATGCATGGAAATCTATGGTTCCTATATAGCTGCTCGTGTTCGACAACACGGCTTCCTTCGCCAGATGGAGTTTGTTGAGCTCCCTTCGGCTACATAAGTCAACTAGAGATTATTATGCCTCCCCAGCACAGATTCACCGCTTGCTTTCGACCATGATTAATAGCTGAAAGACAATTTTTCTTTCACGAAAGCCTGAGACAGCAAATTGGTCGCTGTGAGCTGTGACAAATTCAAGCTGGGGCCATGGCCGAGAAATAAGTTGGTCGTCTCGTCTTGTCATTCTGACTTCTATTGACAAAGGTCTCTGTCAACTATCCTCGTGGACGTAGTTCAAAGTGACTAGGTAAACTTTGCATATATTGGGCAATTCTGGCTGTGGTTTTTCTACCTTGACAATGTTGGTACTCGTAGGAATTTTCCAGTCCGGATGAAGTGGAAGTTCTGCATCTGGGTGTGGATTTTGTCTTGTATCCTATCCAATGTTTTGCCTGTACCTTCAAACCCACGGTATTGACCCTCGTATCCCTTTCTGTTCAAGTATTCGACGAATATTTGAGGAAGCTCACTGATGAACGCGGGTCATGAAGCTTTCTGAAATATTTGAGAGCTCTGTGGCTGCGATCAATCAACAAGTATTTGCTTCCAATGGACATATGGGCCTTTCAACCAAAAAAGTGATAACACATAATGATGACATCAACCGTCGTGGATTCTCTCGTTTAGTCTGTTGTCCATGACTGCGGACGTGCATCTTTCGAAGGGCGCAAACCTTGATGTTTGCTGCAAGCCAGAATGAAAAGTTGAGCGCCTTTTTGCGCCATACCCAAAAATGAAGTGCTTGTCACTTTGCGGGATCACAAGTACTAAGGCAAGCTGGATGAGCAATCATGATGTCTCCAGACATGCATGCATACCTTAGCTGCGACCACAAATCGACTGCTGTGTATGATGTAATGACGATAAGAATGTGGGAAGACAACGACTGACTCCGGTCGCAATGCATTCGCAAAGCACGGCACAGGTTCAAACACCCTAGTGCTCTTGGCCATGGAATTATCGATTTCCAGACAATGCATTGACGTCGGACTGGCAGAATTTCCAATCCAGGGGCGAGCTCAGGTGAGGTGGTGCTGCAGAAAGCAGACACGCGAGGGAGGAGAAGAGAGGTCAGGTTCACCCGTCCTCTGCAGGCTGCAGCTGCACCCGGGAAGATGGGGAATGTACATACACTTGCCACACAATCTCGGTGGCGACACAAGTATCGTGGTCACTGGTTCTCCCCCCCTCCTTCGGTACCGCCGATGGGCATTGAGCCACTGTCAGTCCAGCGGCCACCCACTACGTCCAACAAAGGCAGGCATCACCGTGGTGGACGCAAACACTGGTCCAGGCAGGCAGTCGCAGCACTGGGCACACTGGCAGAGGAAGACGCGCCCCAAGAAGGACAGTGCCAATTGCAGCGAGGAAGCCCCCCAAAGGGTGCAAAGGGGAGAGAGCAAGCTGAATCAACCCCCCCAAAATCCTGCCAGAGGTGCCCGAGAGGCCACTTCCCGCATCGCATCAACGACGACACGAGACGAAAAAAAGCGGCAGAAAAAAATTCATCGATCGACACGTCAATCGCCCTCGCGACGAGCCGACGGGAATACAATGAATGGCTATTCAATCGTCGCCCATGGCCTCTCTCACGCGCTCCACCCGGAGGGCCAACGCTGAAGGGCTTCATCCCCATTCCCTTCACCATCCCCATCCCGTCCCCGTCCAGCAGCAGCCGACGCACCAGCACCAGCAGGCCTTCGCAGCGAACACTGTGACGCGCGCCGCCCCCCAAAACATCTCCGCTTACCACCACCAGCTGCCCGGTCGCACCAAGCGCCAGCTCGACACGGCCGATCTCGTCGATTTCGACCACCCGAAGCAGAAGAGATCGCGTTCGAGCATCGAAATCCTCATCAAACCTGCTCCCCAGCCCGTCAAGCCGGTCGTTGCGAACGCGACTGCCGCTCACAACGTCACCACCACCCCGACTCCGCAACCGACGACGACGACGCCTCAGGCGACCCCGACCCCCCTAGCGAGGCCGACCCCGAAACCCGCGCAACAACGCGTCGCGACAGTGCATCCCCTGAAAGCCCCCTCGACCCCCGCGACCGATAATGCGCCGCAGTTGACAAAACATCAAGAAAAAGTCATCAACGGCATTAAACATGAGTTGTGTCGTTTGCAGCCCCGCGAGGTCGATACCCACACAAAGGAGGGGGGCCGCAAACTGCGCTCGCAAGAGGCCACTCGTTTCAAGAGCGAGCTGTCAGCATACTTCCCCGAGTATGACGAGGTCATCGGAAATGATCCAAAAGAACAACGTATGCTCCATGCTCATGCTTTCCGTTGCCGTGCTTGTGCCGGATCGACACGGCATTACAGGATACTCACTGACCCTTTGCCTGTAGACTTGCTGAACGTCGATACCCCGATAGTCATTTTTGACTCGAACCCCACACGCCTTCAGCCGGCACCATGGCTTCCGTTCACCGGTGCGGAACTCAGCGCGCCGAATGACGCTTCAACGATCCCGCCCAGCGCACATAGAGTCCCGGTACGCGGATACGGTGACGCGTTGTTCAGCGATCTCGTCGATGCACAGCGTATAGACTTTGACTTCCTCGGGATCTCGCACAAGAGAGAACCTGCTGAGGATCCTCTGCCAGATGCGTCCTTCGTGCCCTCGCACAAGAGGGCCGAGAGACTGGAAAAGTCCATACGTAACACAGAGCGTGGTCGGGCTCAACACGAGAAGGACCAAATCGCACGTCTGCTGGGCGGTTTGCAAGGTCACGACTGGCTGCGAGTCATGGGTGTAAGTGGCATAACGGAGAGTCGAAAGAAGCAATACGAACCGGCGAGGCAGCACTTTATAAAAGGCTGCCAAGCCATTCTCGAGAGATTCCGTCTATGGAGTCTGGAGGAGAAGCGCCGCAAAGCCGAAAAGGATCGTGCTCTCGCTAAGGCGGAGGCGGAAGAAACGAGTGACGAGGATTCTTCCGAAGGTAGTGATGAGGATGATGCCGAGGAAGACGACGCTGGTAATGTCAGTGACGGTGATCCTCCTGGCTCTTCCGACGATGACTGTGTGTCGCAACAGCTCCACGAAGAAGCGATAGCAAGGTCGAAGGGAGCAAAGAACAGTAAGAAGCGCCCAAGGGTGATAATACAACCCCGGCCTCCACCAAAGCCGGAACCG